GTTAGAGCTCAGTGACATTTCATCGGCCCTACAGTATATTTCATTTCCTCATCCCATTTAGTCCTTTATTGACTCCCACCTTTCACAATTATTCAAAGTTCTTTTTTGAATCTTCTATGACAGAAAGATATTTAGCTCGAATAGTCATTCGTCTAGGCTTCAGTATTATCCTACTGATTCTAAAAACCTCCCTTGAGCGACCAAAAATTAGGAGAAACATATTTGAAGGACTCGCAACAAAAAGTAAGTACTTCTTCAATGGTGTCTTCCTCTTTGTTATCTAGTCTATGCACTAAAACGGTATTTGCAAAACTCACAAACAAACCTCGGTTCATACTGTCTTCTGAACATTCGTAAAACTGAAGAGCAGGTGTTTTTGATTTGCATGTACTGTTAGTTATGTTCATAACTAACGAATCAAATCGTTGCTTAAGCTCCAACCATGTCAATCTGATCTGATGCGTCTGTAGATTATCCCTATTGCATTTGAAGGACATTATTATCTGATTATATTCGTGTGATTGCAACTCGTTTTTCATTCATTTCGATAAAACACGCAATAATAATCGGTATGTTTATGCGTTCCACTTAATGATTAGAATTCCCTTAACTATTGTACTAATCAGATTGTTATTTTTATGTTTAGAAACAGATAAATTTTAAAGCTAAATTATACTTGTTCTGAATGTAGCTTTCACATTGATTCTAGGGTCGTCAGTATAGCGTTTACAGTTCCGGTAGAACAGCCGTAGGACAGATTAAGTCCTACATATGCCTAAATATACCTTTATCATTACGTAGATTTAACTGATCTCAAAAGTTTTCATCATCGAAAAAAGTCGTATGGACATACCAATTAGTTGCACGTATCGTTTGTACAATCCCCCTAACATCATTTTCCTTCTAACAGTTTGTTTTGAAATGTTGAACAGTTAGTCTCAACCCTAAAAACAGAGTTCTCTGCCGCTTGATAACTATCGCCATCTCATATATCCCACCTTCATATGATAGGCACTTAGGAACAGTGATGGGTGAAACATTTCTCGTGAAAAATTCTAGTCTACCTTGTCCACACGTCACTATCATTGAAAGTCATAGCTTAAAGTTTCACGATTATGTGGTAGACAAAGTTAATAATATAACGAAAAATGCAAAAAATGTTGCTGTTACACCTGAGTTAATAAACTATACTCATGATGTATTTTAAGAACTAAGAAAACTTTTTCAATATAAATCAAAACTAATCATACCAAACTATTTTCTAGGTTTACATAATAAAAGCTTGCATGTTAAGAAAAAGCTCAAAAACATTTTATTGGTAAGCAAAGAATATCTTTCTAATGTTTGCACTATTTTTGAACCATATTTAATAAGGTGATATTGTTGAGTAGTTTCCTATTATTCTGAAAAGTGCTTTTTATAGTAAATACAAAGGTTAGAGGTTTCTATATAGAAGGTTGCATAGTAGTTAAATAAAATTAACAAGTTGTTTAAATTATTACATCATTTATCTTCTATAAATTCCGAGTTTTGTACATTTGTACTTATTTAAACAAAATTTCTTGATAAATATTTTTTTCAACAGACTGATACTAATGATGCTAAATCATGGCTTCTCATTTCCTTCTTTTGATAACCACTATATCCTGGCAAATTTAAATTGCTAGAAACAAAATATTTAAGAAAAAGGTCATTTAAATGTACGGATGATGAAAACTAAAGTTTTCCGGGCTTTATGTTGTCGTATTATAACAAATGAGTCTTTCTTATTAGTTTCTTGGTAACGACATATGTCGTAGTGTATAGTTCTGGACGATGGCCGATTTTTTATCATATTACAGCATGACTACTCATCTAGTATATTAAATATTGGAGTATGTGTCTCATGTGGTATCACTTCATCACAAATATATGAATTACATGCATTTATCAACGTTATAAACTCCTGATTACGAATAATATTTTCCATTTCTAGAGTAGTATTATTTATTCCTTAAGGATAATTTCTTCACAAGAAAACAGAAAACTTTTAGGAAACTACGGGGCATCGGATTGATTTATCCTAGATTTTTACCTTCGGTTATCCAGAAAACACTACACATAATAACGCATGTAACCTATAACGTATTATATAACCTGAACTTTATATTTTGTTTGCCTTAAGGAAAAGAAAAGTCATCAAAAAAGCTGGCAATTGACTTTATTCAAAATTATATAGAGGTTAGTTTCCATGTTAATAGTTCACCATTTTCAAGAAAATGAACATTTAAACAAACTTTTTGATCATCAGTGGCCCTTAATTTTATTAACAAGTAATAAACGTTCTACAATAATACCTTTGCAGATGATATGACGCAAAGTGCTTAATTACTATTCCGAAAGATTTTTAATAAACCTATCAACGTTGTAAAATACCATGTACAAGTTAGTAGCGATTAGTATTTGATGGCTTATAGGATCATATGTTAGCTTTTGAAGCGATAATTATTATCAGAATGGGTTTTGTGGAGATTTTTAGAAATTTTACTGGCTGAAATCATGAGTCAGTTGAAGCTAGACCACCATGGAAAACCTGGAAGCACCGGACGGCCGTTTCGTCCTAGTATGGGACTCCTCAGCGGCGCGCATACACGATCCCACCCCCTGCAAAATTCGGACCCAGGACCTATCAGTCTCGCGCCAGGCGCTTAACCAACTAGACCACTGAGCCGGCATCCAACGGTGTTAATGTCTAACTTCTAGTTCTAGTGAGATGTCGTTACCAGTGGAGTTCAAACACGTCTGTTGTGAGATAGGAACTCACTGAAGACAACGATGTACGGCGGCGCAACTTCATTGATTGGTTGAAGTGAGACATTAACACCGTTAGACGCCGGCTAGCTCAGTGGTCTAATTGGTTAAGAGCCTGGCGCGAGACTGATAGGTCCTGGGTCCGAATTTTGCAGGGGGTGGGATCGTGTATGCGCGCCGCTGAGGAGTCCCATACTAGGACGAAACGGCCGTCCGGTGCTTCCAGGTTTTCCATGGTGGTCTAGCTTCAGTTGACACATGATTTCAACCAGTGAAGCAATAATTATTGATTGAGTATCTTATTGTGGTAGTTAACGTGAATATTTAGGTACAGTCAATTGGTGAAACAGATAGAATGAAACGTGCGTCCCGAATCCCAATACTAGTCACAATCCAAATATACTCAAATCCGTGACAAATAGGCGATATGGGGAAATCTACTCAGGATATCAACAAAAGTTGGTCAAAATTAAGTCTTGAACATCAGCAACGAGATAGTACAAATCCTTGTAAATATAAAACATCCGTTAATAACAAAAATAGGAAATGAATATAATTGTCACTACGAAAACGACAAAGATTAAATTAAACTGTTGTCTAGTTATGAAATATATTATATCTACATTAATTTGTCCGTTTAATGTGTAGACAACATCAGTTACCAGAATGTGATCACATGCGAATAAAGTAATTAACCATTTATACAACCTGATTTAAAAATTCAAACCATCATAAATTACACGGTAGAAATAACTTAGATTGATTAGTTTTATAATTGTAGATTGTTTTTACTTAAATGTTTGACTCAAGTTCCAATAACGTGTTGGGCGAGAGCACCTAGAATATTACGAATACTACAATTAGTTGTACTTAACTGACTGGTAAGACAAAGATATATCGAGAATTATTTAATTTTTATCCAGACTGTTTTTCAACAATGACCTTGTGGTTAGTCTTTTTTTATTTGAAAAACTACCTTTAAAAATACTGAAAACCATGTATCAATGGAAATTAATTCCAATTTTAGTCTTCTGGCCAGTTATTTACTGTGTTATACCGTTGTGATACAATAATTATACTTAAATGCGTATCGATTGATAAACCCAGATCATATAATCAATTCACAACAAAAAAAGAGTTTTAAATTAAACGGTGCTTGAAAAACATGATTTCTAAGCTACTTACAGATCAAATACATATTCATGAGGAATATCTTGACGGACTAAATTCAATGATTTGTATTTATGGTACGGGTTATCTAAATCGATACGTTTTTCGCCCGTACAAAACGATCCACTAAAATGGTGAAGTCATGGGTGAACAGAATAATAAAAAAAAAGAAGTAGGCTAGTAAACATAATTATACATGAATGAATTATGTTTCTTTCACATAGGTATACAAATTCCGTAACAATAACACTTAATTCAGCCAATTATTAGGGGCATCTAGCTTAAAAATATTTATTCTAGCGTAAACATGAAACTCATTATTTTTTCAGAGCAGATAAATACGTAGTAATGATAATAGTATATTTCACAATCAAAGGAAAATTCAGTATATGATACGGGATTCACTGAAGTTAAAAAAATATAATATCATCAACGTCAATCACCCACTGGTTCCATTATATACAATACATGCCTTAGATACTAACAATCAGTCCATGTTCTTAATCATCAACTGTCATTTGTAATGTAATTCTTTAATGTGAAATAAAGTTGATTATGTGGTATGATTAAGAAAAATGAGAACGCTTCTGGAAAGAAAATTTTCTTGTCAGGGAAGACTTTGTTCATGTACACTGAATTCTAAGGGGATATGGCTGCAGAGATCTGAATAGACAATTTTTGGAAATCCTTAAGGAAAATTTTAACTCACCCGAGCTACGACTTGTATTTTATAGTACATGCCTGATCCAAGGATGTGCTAAGGATAAATTGACGCGTTGGATCATTTCAATGTGTAGAACCTGTTTACATTCTCATGTAGAGCATTTCATGCTAACTGGACAAGCATCCTGTTTCCAAACTTTTATCAAAACACTATCCGCCACGATCATCAAAAAGTGGGTATAAATCAGGTGGACTGTTCGATTGCTGAATGTCTATTCAGTTTTGGCCACTTACCTTCACTAGAAAATTACCTCAGAATTATTCATAAATCGAAATGAAATAGTTGTAGGGGAAGCCTATGCATAGCTAACTCTTTAACAATTCATTGCTTCAAGCCTGCTCTTTGCATTCAGAAGCGATACGTTTGATACTTTAGTTTACTTTGATCCTGATGCTCTCATGATAATTTGTAAGTTCTTTGTTTACACCTTAACCTTTCTTATGTCACATGGACAGTGCCCTTTCACTGATGAGAAGTCCCATACTAGGACGAGACGGCCATCCAGTGCTTCCAGGTTTTCTAACGTGGTCTAGCTTTAATTGATTCATTAATTCAAAAACCTATTCACCTGGTTAATGGTTTGTTCTGGATATTTAATCATTCAGTGGCTTGTATCAATCACACAGTCTCATGAGCAGACATCACTCGGTAGTATCGATTAACAATCTATTCAACAATCTCTACAAAATTCATATGGAAATTATTTATAATCGACTTACCTGTAACCAGGAATTTGATTAATTCTTGAATTATAAGAACAACTGTGATGTAAGAAAATGAACATGAGTAAAATATCAAATGCGTGAAATTAAAAAGTATTATGACAAGGCATTTAAAGTTTATTCCTATTACCTGGTTGGTATTATTCAAGAGATGTTAGTCAAAATAAAGGAGTTCAATAAATTTAACTTCTTACAGAGAGTATATTGTACCTTTAATTATTCAAATAATCAAAACTTCCCACTTCAAAATAACTTTCACTATATTACTATCTTAACTGTGATGTTATTACCGAGGATGATTTGATTCATTTCACAAATCACAACTTTCTGTCATGATCTCAAAAGTTTGTTTTTAAGGTAGTCAAAACTAAAACTATCATTAGACTCATTAGAAATCGTTTAGTTAATTAAAGCAACATTATACAATTTATACTGTTAGATTGTGATCTGAACCCTGTAAAACAAATTGGTCGACCTAGAATTATTCAATATGTTGTTGGTTTTCTTTAATAATAGAGTGCGATGATTTGTATAAGTTGATCAGTAGCTAGTATTGTTTTAACTCATTTTATGGAGATTTATAAATACGATTTTCGGTATAGGAGTTGTGGATATTATTAGGTTTTTGATTGAGATCATGAACCGATTGATGTTAGACCTTCGCTGGAAAACTGGAAGCACTGGACGGTTCAGTAGGTTAAGCGTTCGCATGTGAGACTGAAGGCCCTGGGTTCGAATTCCGTGGATGCGCACTGCTGAGTAGTCCTGCAATAGCACAGAACGGCCGTCCAGTGCTTCCATGTTTTCAATAGGGGTCTAACACCAATCGGTTCATGATCTCAATCAAATATGATTTTACCTTAGTATGCTGATGAACTTCATGAAAACACGAATTTCGTTAGGATCAGGAACACAAAACACGTTTACATGTCTTTAAGACAGTTTTTAAGATATGATAATGCATATCTACACAGAGACTAAACGAAACACTAAACACCTCTAACTGCAGCACTGAAAGAAATGGTAGTATGTTGTGCGATATGAACTGTAACTGTTCATTCAACAAATGAAATTAGATATTAAGCTTTGCTTAATGTTGAAATACTGTTAATGTTGTGGACGTCATTCTGTTATTGATTTCTGTTTTGAGTTCCATTGCGTGTAGACTATTTCTATTGTGCTTAATGCTTCATTTTCTGATTTATTGTTTGGTTCAAATCTAAGGTCAAAAATCGTGTACCGATGTATGACGTAATTCACTTAATTCCTAGTGTGCCGACTGAGTAGTCAGTCTAATCTGTTATCGTTATATATCGTAGAGTAGTAAAATCATACATTATATTTTTTCGTTACATCTTACATATTTACTGACTTACGCCTGTTAACCCTGATGGAGGAGTGTAGGCCGCTCATCAACATTCTCCATCCAACCCTGTCCTTAACAATCTCTTCCAGTTGCTATTCATCCTTTCCATGTCTACTTCCAGCTATCGACACTGTGTGTTCTTCTGCCTTCCACTTTTATGTTTCCCTTCAGAATTCCGAGTTAGCGTTTGTCATATGATGCAGTTTGATGACCTCTTCAGTATATGTCATATCCACTTCCATCATGTTTCCTAATATTCTCTTCAGCTAGATATTGGTTTGTTCTCTCACATAGTAGGCTATTGCTGATGATATCCGGTCAACGGACATTCAGTATCTTGTGTAAACAACTATCTATAAATACTTGTACATGTTTGACGATAGTTGTGGTAGTTCTCCACGTTTTAGCCCCATACAGAAGAACTTTCTTGACATTCTTAATGAAGATTCTCACTTTGGTATTGGTTGGCAGTTGTTTTGAGTTCTATACGTTGTTCAGTTGTGGGAATCCTGTCCTTGTTTTGCCAATCCTCGATTTTACATCTGCATCAGATCCTTCTTGTTCCTCGATGATGCTTCTCAGGTTCGTGAAAGTTTCCACCTCTTTCTGAGCTTCTTTATCAAGTGTGACTGGGTTGACGTTCTCTGTGTTGGACTTGAGGATCGTGCTTTTTCTTTTGTTATATTTTGGACTACTGATGCAAAGGCTGCTGATACACTAGTTGTCTTCATCTGCATTCGTTGATGTGCATGAGATAGAAGGACCAGGTCATCTGCGAAGTTCAAATCGTCTAATTGATTCCGAGCTGTTCGTTGCATTCCGTGCTTCTCCTCAGATGTCTAGCCCTTCATAATCCAATCAACCATCAAAAGAGAGAGGAAGGGTGAGAGAAGGCAGCCTTGTCTGACTCCGGTCCCCACTTGGGATACGTCTGTCAGCTGTCCTCCATGTACAACATTACATTGTAGCCCGTCGTATCAATTCTGGATGATGTTGACGATCTTCTCAGGTATACCATAGTGCTGAAGAAGTTTCCATAATGTCCTCCTATCCACACCGACAAATGCTTCCTCATGATCAAGAGTGTTTATGTATATGTATGCATCATTATAAGGAATTGATCTCTATCGAAACCCTGGACAGGATTCAATAAAGGAAGAACAAGAAGACAGAAATTAACAACAGATGAACAAAAACAGAGAAAGTCAAGGCACAAGCGGAATACACAGAAGCAAACAAGCTAGTGAAAAAGGGCATTTGAGCCGACAAACGGAAATACGTGAACGAACTAGCAACGACAGCGGAAAAAGCTGCGACAAATGAAAATACCGGACAATTGTAAGATATAACTATGAGTCTAGCAGGGAAAGTATAGTCACCCAGAGAAACCTGTTATGGAAAAAGAAGGCAAGCCAATAATTGAGATCGAAAGACAGAGGAACAGATGGGTTTAACACTTTGAAGAATTATTGAATGGGCTACTTGTATTGGATCTACCGGATGTCGAAGCAAAACCTACAAACCTTTCTATAGATATCACTCCATCAACAGTCGAAAAAATCAAGATGGCCATCAGACAAATCAAGAGTGGGAAAGCAACATGACCTGACAATATACCAGCTGAAAAGGAAATTAAGAAAGAACGATGGAAGTTGTTTGAACATGTATTGGAGAAATCCTCAAACTACATCATATGGAAACGCTAACTCGGAATTCTGAAGGGAAACATAAAAGTTGAAGGCAGAAGAACACACAGTGTCGATAACTGGAAGTAGACATGGAAAGGATGAATAGCAACTGGAAGAGATTGTTAAGGACAGGGTTGGATGGAGAATGTTGATGAGCGGCCTACACTCCTCCATCAGGGTTAACAGGCATAAGTAATTTAAACATTTTGTTATATTTATAAGTGATTTATTTTTTTCGCTATTACTCAATTCGTAGTATTACCTATTATTCAGTTTGTAATTTGCTAATCTATTCAGTTGACTGTGTTTATAAGAACCTTTTACGCTTTCATTGGGCCGCTTTTATTCTTAAGGATGGAGAGGCAAATAAGCTTATCAGTATTTCAAATTCTTTGATTAATTTTTTCGTTGATTATGTGTGTAATAATCATGTACACGGTCTGAGCCCGAGAATTTACTTGCATAGCTTTTATTACTACCTTAGACATCATTTTCAGCTCTCGCAGCCCAACATTAAGGGTGGCCACCTACGTAAAGTAGCTTATGTACAGTTGAGGTAGGACAAACGCCATAAATGTGGTGATTGTTTGGCCATTGTATAAAACAGAAAGTAACAACCTACTTACAATTCATATGGTCGGTCTTCTTTTATATGAAGATATCTTGCTTGTTTTTGATCATATTGAACTGGATTGAATAGTTCCGGCTGTAGGTTCAGGTGGAAAATAAATATTTATGAGAAATGGCTAAAAATAGTTTGGTATTTTTCGATAAAACCGTAATGTCTATTCGTTGTATTTTGAATTGGTTTGCAGTATCTGAATAAAGATTTTATTTCAACAACCTATCTACTTCTTCAGCTAGACAATATACTGAAAATATTCACTTGGTGTTGTTTACTTGTATCTTCCCATTGTTATTTAGGACTGCAATTGGTCAGTCTCTTTGCTTATAAAGCTTGTGACTTAAGGCTATATCGAGGCAGTCCACACAGAATTCACATATGCCAACATGAGACTGGTCAATTGCAGTCCTAAATAACAATGAGAAGATACAAGTAAACAATACCAAGCGAATGTAACTTCACCCCATTGTACAAGCAGGTGGCTATCACGACTTAGTAGCTAAGCGGATAACGCGCTGGAGTTTGAAACGAACAGTGCTGGGTTCGAGTCCCTGAGTTGACACCAACTCTGAGATGCCAGTACACTCAGCTGGCGAGTCCCAAATAGGACGGAACGCGCGTCCTTGATTCCACTAACAGCCACTATTCATCTTTGCCTATACTATACTGAAAACCTATTAGTTGTCTGAGGCAATATTTGTTCATATTGCAGTATCATCGATTTGGTAATTGCGACTGTCATTTTGTAATATCATTCCGAGTTAAAAAATTTTAATGATATCCCTTGATCATATATGAATAAATATTATGTAAAACAGATAAAAGATATTCAGAGCTACACATTATGAGATTAAATCAGTCGGTAAGTGCTTGGTTTATTATGGTCAAACGACTTTAAACAAACGAGTTGCATTTTAGATTAGCATTATGAAAAAATCAACTGTGAGACTATGGAAATAATTTAACGTTGAGTTTACTCAGCTTGATATCAGTTTGAACTATAACCATTTCACTTTATCCATTAATTAATGCAAAGTAAATTTTTGAATATAAGTGTACTGAGGTATTATTTTTAATTTAAATTTTGGATGTGAAATGGACCTTTCTCTATTGTTTTTATTTTCTCGCTCCTGTGGCAAAACATACTCACTTTGCATGCACAAGTAATCAGTTTTAGAAGTTATTTAAAATGTAGACAACACTGTTCACAGGGGCTGTTTTGTAACAGTGTCAGTAGAAATCATTTAAATTGCTGGAGCAATTATTTTTATGTGATGAAATTATCAGAATATGTTATGATTTTTCACAATTTCAAAACTTGAATGCTTGTGCTTTGATCGCACCTTCAACAGTTTAACTATTTAACCTACCACATCTGAAGTACGAATCCAAACCCAACAACGCCTATTTGAGGTTCAGGAGTTTCACAGTTTTATCAGAGACAATAGATAATCTAACGAAATAAAATTAATTTATGTCATCACGCTCACATTCTTGTTCTTACTCTTTCCAAAGGAGAGAACAAATCTGACACACAACCTTAAATCAATAAGTGGAGCATGTTATCAATTAACAATGACTAAGCACATGTTTCGGTTTGTTGATGTCACAGGTATTCAGTGTTTGACAACGCTTCTACCAGTAACACCTTCTAATATATTTCGTTCCCGCCCAGAGAAATCAAAAGACAGAGTCGAGGAGATCGGAAGAGTATATTTGGCGATGACCAAAATATCGGAATTCTCTGATCTAATCTGGCTAGCGATTGCGGTTGATGTTGAGCACGGCGTTACCACACGTGATCTGGTGCGGATGCCTGACCGAGCGCCTTCAGCTAGGTGAGTCCACTAAAACATATGGTCAGCATCCAATGTCGAAAACTTAGTGCTATTTATTTTGGGGATTTATTTACCGCTACAGGTTCAAATGGAAACACTGTTTAAAAGAATCCGATTATGATGCCACACTTGAGTACAAAAATATAGGAATTTCCTTCATATTAACTTGGCCAACAAACTAGGGGAAAACCCAGTACATGTATGGACTCATGGTCGAGATCAGACCTCTAAGTTATAATACTAAGAAACCAGTCTAAAAATGACTTCAGCTTTAGAATCTAAACCAGTCATACCAGCCATATAAACGAACCACAACTCAAGTGACGATAATGAGTACTGAAGTAACTCATTTAACAATTAGTATGATGTTCCATGCAACTCTGAATTTGGAAGCATGACAAAGCAGATGTTAATCATTTTCGGTAACCAATCGTTTTTCAGCTTATCCCAGTACTCTGTAAAAACGACCATAAGATTTTGATGGAATACATAAAAAAACTGACCTGTAGTGACAAATATGATGAGCATCATTCAAGATGCTCAAAACAATACATTCCAAGGAAAATTAGAAAATACATGATATCACGGCCTTAACACAGTCTTGTTCTGTGGTGTCTACAAATGACATAATATGAACATTGAAGCCCTATTGTTGATTACATGTCCATGAAGCTTGCCTAAAGACATTATTTCAAGACATATTGTAGTGTCAATGAACCATGAAAACAGTCTTAAGCACTAAATTAGTTGATCGCGACTAAATTTAAACGCAACCACTAATAATCACATTTATGGTTGGTTGATTCGCTCAATCTCCAAAGGCGTAGGCGATGATCTAGTTAGTTGGTTTTTGAATGTGATTACATATTCGAAATAATAGGATGTGTTTCACTAATGATGAGTACCACAGATGAAAAGAACTTACTATCCATGACTTGGTAGCAGGGTAATATGAATCACTATCCAAAAGACCTCTAATTGGGTCTGCAACAGCCTCGGAACTTTTTATCGGGTATAAGCGTCGGCACGTATTTCCGTAAAAATTCGATCGGTTTCCATATGCTCTAATATGAACGTAATACAATGTACTAAAAATGAAATTACGCTTGATAACTTGATGTATACAGGTAACTTTGTGCAATTTTGTCATCTCCAGTTAAACGTCTGGTATTTAGCATATCCTGCCAAATGTTTTGAAGAATAAAAAAGCGTGACTTATGAAAAACGTACAAGTTGTGGAAATATCGAAGTCCTTAATAGCTGTTTGGACTGATAGTTCTCACTTTTTAGGCTTGCTTAAGAGATTACAGGACGTCATAAACCGCAATTTTACCGGCAAACCTTCCTCGAATTACTTGGTCACTAATGAATTTATCATGCATTGGTAATGGTTTATTCAAGGTCTCCGGAGGTGCCATGTTTAAACCTTCTCTGAATGCACTAATGTCCTTAAAATAAAAATTTTTTGCATAAGCATTACAAACTACCCCCGGAGACATATTTTGAGGCTTCCGTCTGTCAATACCCCTTCTCTCTTCAAGTCGGTTGAGTGAAGACGCTGACGCAAGATTGGATATATTTGTGGAATCTTCTAATGTCGTCAATGTTGGATACTTTGGTGGAAATCCCAATTTTTCCCGTTCTTTAATAGAGTTTTCATTTTTTAATAGAATATGTCTCTTGTTTTCTTCTTTAACTCTCACCCTTCTGTCTAAATCACTCTCCTTGTTTTGACTATTCTTTATACATTGACGGCTCATACCAAGACCTTGAATTTTAAAATGTCGAACGATAGAATTTGGAACGTTGCTATACGAATGGAACATTATAAGAAAAACGAACAGTCCTGAACAGAACAGATGACTTTGCCCAGCAAGATTCTGTAGATCGTCAACAAAAATAAGCGAAAACAACAGTTCTGGAAGCAGAGTACAATACTCCTTATTTGAGTAAGTTTTTACGTCACAAGATGCTTCTCACTGAGGTGCATCAGCACTTTTGTGAAATAATTTTTCCCGTGTGATATAATGCAGCTGCGCAAAATTTTAAGTAGTAAAACCAAGCACCCGAAGTAAAATGTCAATATTTTATGTATGATGTGTTATGTTGGACCAGTAGATTGTCACTGACCCGTCGACCAGTGAACTGGCAGGTAGACCACTGAGTGTCGAATAGTTTATAGAGCCCCGCCGTGGTTAGGATAAATCAACGTTCATCACTCAGCTGCATGTCATGGCTCGGCCCATGCAGCGATGGAGCATCTTTGTGTTTCTGCAATCTTTTCTTACTAATACGACCATTCAGTAATGTCATGTTTGTGCTATTTAACCATCTGAGTAACAATAGCGCTTGGACACCGCAAAAGGCGATAAACATAGAGTAATCACCTCCACAATGTCGCATTATTCTCTTCCAGCTCGAGTAGACCACGATCATCCACAAAGAACACCTAAATTGATGATCTACGGTAGCTCTAAGCTAGACTGCAAATTATGGAACACGTACATAATACAAAGCATATGAACATAATTATGAATCTTATTGTCCTATATAGGCAGATTGAGTCAGTGTGCTTGTCTTTTTTCTAATTTGCTGACTAAACCCAAACTATTAGCAAGGTGTCCACGTTTTACTATATAAACGGCCATTTGGCTCATGAACGCATATATAACACGATCTGCCAAATATAAATATTGCCGTACACCCCGTTTAAATGATCTATTCTGATTGTTATACATCGAAGTGAATTAACTCAATACAATATTCATTCCAAATGTGCATAGATTTATTATGGACATAACTAGATAACACTTTCAATAATAAGTATCTGTAATTGGTTTGTGGATAGTTTCGGGTTTAAATAATCATTATATAATTCACTTTAACGACCAAGTTTTCAGATCCTGCGCTGCAGAACATCTAAGAAAACTCTATCCTTTCTTACCATATAGGTCACACAAGTGTTCATTCTTAAACAATGCACACATACATACACGCACAAATTCACATACTTATCACTTATGAATCACCTTGACAGAAATGACATGACATCAACTTGTTCAGACCTGTTTTTGATTGATCAAATATTATTCTTGCATTGTTCCGTTGTACTATTTAAACTTGGATTAATTTAATTTGGCTATTTATTCTCTGAAGAAGTGACTTACACTAAGCCACGAAACGTCAGAAAAATCCAATTTTCTACTCATTGGGATATTACAAATATATTATTTTTATTTATAACAATCAACCCAATGCTCAATTTATTCGAAATTATCAAATCAAACCTTAGTAATGACACCTACAAACTCATTAATAATCGGAACAAATTATCCAAATGTAAATGCAATTGGTACAATCACAGAATATTTAATAAACGATGTTTACAAGACAACATTATCCCTAAATCTCTTGTTAGAAAACCTCCAGAACGGTCCTGGAGATCTATCCAGATTTCGCAACACGCGTCTCGAATATTCTTACGAGAACGCATTCACAAATGCACACATTTACTAGAAAAATATCGTGAACGAATCAAAAACCTTGATGATTTACTGAAGCTTTTAATCCCGATCAAATTACAAACCACGATATCCAACCTGTTTATAGAAAGAGAACTCCATTATTTAAATTCCTCGAAACACCGACAAATTAAAAAATTCGAAAACATCAAAGAAAAGAAGAAAGATAAGAAAACATCAACAATAAAATACAATTTGAATGATCTAAGAACAGTTCATAATCTCTCCAACAGAAACTTAAACAGTCACGAAATCACTCTACTAGAGAAGGGATTAAACTTCAATTTACACCGTAAACCACTTAGCACTCTTGAAATCGCTCCGATTATAGAACCAATGATCGCACAACTACCGGAAAAAGAGTCGCATTTACTACGTCAAAAGACATCCCATATTCTGACGAAACAAAAACACATTACCCCAAACATTTCAAAAGAAGAATTGAAGGCTCTGAATTCACTTAAAAAAGACAAAATGATTATCATCACAAAAGCCGACAAAGACAACACAACAGTAATCATGAATAAAACAGATTATATTAATAAAGCTCTTGAACATCTCTCAACGGGACCTTATGAAAAGATCAATCCCAAAACTTCTCTGACGATTAAGAATAAAGTTAAATTAGAAACAAATCAACTTCTGAACGAGCTAAAACCAATCATTGGGGTCTCGCTTTGGTTTGCTTTGCATCCCAAATCATGTAATGTCTCACGGTTTTATGGCTTACCAAAAATTCATAAACCAGATATTCCTTTAAGACCAATAGTAGACTTCACAAACACCCCAACATATGCACTATCGAAATATTTAAGCAATATATTAAAACCATTACAACTCAACTTACATAATATAATTAAAGACACATATGACTTTAAATCAAAATTATCCGGATCAATCATCGAGAAGAATGAAATCATGGTAAGCTTTGATGTCGTTTCTTTATACACAAGTGTTCCCATTGATAAATGCTTAGAATTCATTAGTGGTTTACTTGAGAACGACAATACTCTTCCTAACAGATGTCCGTTGAGCATCAGTCTAATCATGAAATCCTTAAAACTTTGCTTAACTTCAACGCTATTTAATTTTAAAGGTATTTTATTCAAACATCCTAACGGTGTGGCGATGGGATCCCCCGTGTCCCCGACTGTAGCCAACCTTTTTATGGCATACACAGAATCAAATATCTTCGCCCACAACATTATACCACGAATTTGGCTTAGATATGTAGACGATACATTTGTTGTTATAAAAAAGACTCATCTAAGATCTTTTTCAAAACGAATTAATACACTTTCATCGCACATCAAATTCACGAATGAAAATGAAAATGCACATGGTGAGCTACCATTCTTGGATTGCTTAGTGAAAAGAAATCCAAATGGAAGTCTAAACCTATCCATTTACCGAAAGCCGACGCATTCAAATCGTTATATTGACTTCCATTCAGCACATCCTTTCAGTGCTAAGATCTCGCTAGCCTTAAATCTTTTTAGAAGAGCTAACAAGATCATCACATCAGAGGAAGACAAACAAAAAGAATATAATTAGCATCTTACAATTTAATAATTCTCCTATGAAGATTATTAGAAGCATATTAAAACAAAACAGTTTATTACATTATAATAATGATTCGAATGAAATGCCTTGGACTGGCACTGTAGTCCTACCATACCGTCATGGCACAACAGAAGAAATTCAAAGCATCTTAAAACATCACAGAATTAAAGTGTATTACAAAACAACGAACACACTACGTAACACTTTAGTTCGCCTGAAAGAAAAAATCCCTTTCATGTCCACACAGAACTGCGTCTACAAATTAGGTTGTATCGATTGTGATGCCTATTATATTGGAGAGTCATCCCGCGAAATCGTGACTAGAGCCAAATAACATATTAGGTACACAAAGAAACCTCCTAACAATCCGGTAGAATTGAACCAACTCCAAATTAAATCGGCAATAGCAGTTCATGCCATTTTCAACAACCACCAAATCGATTTTAAAAATATCAAAATATTGCAAAAAGGCTTTTCCAATACAAAGAAAGGAGGGTAGCCGAGGCGTTCCATATAATGCTTAATCCTACTTCTCTCAATAGAAAAGAAGGCCTTACCATACATCCTACTTGGACCATCTATCCTAACCATTCAGTCTGATCGTATTTACAATTTCACACTTTCATATTACAAATTTAAACTCTATCCTTTCTTACCATATAGGTCACACAAGTGTTCATTCTTAAACAATGCACACATACATACACACACAAATTCACATACTTATCACTTATGAATCACCTTGACAGAAATGACATGACATCAACTTGTTCAGACCTGTTTTTGATTGATCAAATATTATTCTTGCATTGTTCCGTTGTACTATTTAAACTTGGATTAATTTAATTTGGCTATTTATTCTCTGAAGAAGTGACTTACACTAAGCCACGAAACGTCAGAAAAATCCAATTTTCTACTCATTGGGATATTACAAATATATTATTTTTATTTATAACAATCAACCCAATGCTCAATTTATTCGAAATTATCAAATCAAACCTTAGTAATGACACCTACAAACTCATTAATAATCGGAACAAATTATCCAAATGTAAATGCAATTGGTACAATCACAGAATATTTAATAAACGATGTTTACAAGACAACATTATCCCTAAATCTCTTGTTAGAAAACCTCCAGAACGGTCCTGGAGATCTATCCAGATTTCGCAACACGCGTCTCGAATATTCTTACGAGAACGCATTCACAAATGCACACATTTACTAGAAAAATATCGTGAACGAATCAAAAACCTTGATGATTTACTGAAGCTTTTAATCCCGATCAAATTACAAACCACGATATCCAACCTGTTTATAGAAAGAGAACTCCATTATTTAAATTCCTCGAAACACCGACAAATTAAAAAATTCGAAAACATCAAAGAAAAGAAGAAAGATAAGAAAACATCAACAATAAAATACAATTTGAATGATCTAAGAACAGTTCATAATCTCTCCAACAGAAACTTAAACAGTCACGAAATCACTCTACTAGAGAAGGGATTAAACTTCAATTTACACCGTAAACCACTTAGCACTCTTGAAATCGCTCCGATTATAGAACCAATGATCGCACAACTACCGGAAAAAGAGTCGCATTTACTACGTCAAAAGACATCCCATATTCTGACGAAACAAAAACACATTACCCCAAACATTTCAAAAGAAGAATTGAAGGCTCTGAATTCACTTAAAAAAGACAAAATGATTATCATCACAAAAGCCGACAAAGACAACACAACAGTAATCATGAATAAAACAGATTATATTAATAAAGCTCTTGAACATCTCTCAACGGGACCTTATGAAAAGATCAATCCCAAAACTTCTCTGACGATTAAGAATAAAGTTAAATTAGAAACAAATCAACTTCTGAACGAGCTAAAACCAATCATTGGGGTCTCGCTTTGGTTTGCTTTGCATCCCAA